CGTCACTGGGCGTTCTTCAAGATATTTTTTCAAAGCCGGTAATTTGTGAATTTCATCAACAAATTTCTTGATTTCGGGAAAACCTTCAAAGAGTGGAGGGGCCATACGTTCAATAACCATCAAAGTGTCAGCAATGACGATATCGGCCCAGTAAAGTTGTTTGCCCACCAGGTGTATCCCGTCACCTGCAGTCAGAAGCTTCTTTAAATGACCAAAATATTTGTCCCTAGCAGGAAGAACGAGTTCCTTCAGGACCTTATTCTAAAAGTATTGCAACAGTTCAAACTACAAGATTTATCACGACTTACATCCTACGATTATATCTGAATTTTTCGCAAGGCAAAAATCGCGATCCTTAACTTGAATTGAACAGAAATTACCGTTCGAAATTCTAAATTTATTGGCACATATTATAGTTGGAAGATACTAAAACGTGCACCAGTAAAATGGTAAAGCATAACGTATAGAGAGTAAAAAACTTTTAGTACTTTACGAAGATTACTCACATTTCAGCAGTTTAACATCCGCCTCTAAATTTACTATAAATACAATTAAAATGCAAAGTTACCTTATCAGCATTTGACAGCCCTTCAAATATCTCATAATATGGTTCAATTTCCTTGTCAAAATCTTTCTGAGCATCGTATACAGCATCTACTTGAGCTTCTTCTATTGGGCAATTAGGAACCAAACCTTAATATGAAAAGTAATTTACCCAGCCGAATAAAATTTATCAGCATCAGACCTAGTAGCATTAAAAGGTGTACTCGCATATAATAACCTTTTCGTAGTCAATTTTTTCCAAATCTGTTATTTTTTACCACTTTTATTTGATGGGACGAACCCTACTGTTGGTTTTTTAAAGCGGTCTTGAAAAACTTAAAAGACACTTGACTGCTCGGCCAAAAAACGTTACTGTTGTTCAAAGAAATTAATAGATTGGGAAGAATTGCAATATAAGAACCCGCACAAATGACTTATAAACTGTACAGTAGTTTCGCATCAGTTCCTTTTTGACTATAGCACTTTGAGATTTTAACTGTCAAGATCTAAAACAGTTTTTCACTCCAATGAATCAAATCCGACCAGAACATAAGAAGGAGACTAAAAAAGAAGTGTCTGAAATGCATCCTTCAATAAAATCCCCATCAAAAACTCCACGCGAAACACATTTCAATAAGAACAGTAAAACTTGAATGCCGGTGAAAGCGGCTAACCAAATTGGCGAGCCAGGTATCTGAATATTGCAGCACTTTGAGGTATTTGTACGCCATCCACCTCAAGAACTGGTACTTGACCATAAGGCATTTCTAAATCAAAAATGTCCAAAAGTGTAATGATGATACGACAACGGTGCGAAGGTTATATAAAGATGTAAAGACTACTCGAGAAACTAAAACAAATATGAAAAATATGCAAGAACCTTCTAAAAACATTTGTCTTGTCCTTTGTAGCAATAACACTGTAAATGAAAAAGTGAGTCATTACTTGGTTTTAACTGTGGCCACTCCTCAGGAGTTACCCTCACATCTTCAAATGGAACGGACGCATAATGAAATAAGAGTCGAGCACCTTCACCATATCCATGGAAATTAAAGTAAGTGAGTTTATAATGCGGCATTACACCCAAAATAAAAATATTTGCAAAAACAATATCAGAGATACTGGCAACTAAGAAGACATATAAAAACGAAAGCGGACCGCTAATCGGAAAACCTTCTATCCGTTGAGATTAATCTTGACCAAAATCGAGCATTAACGATACTGAGTGCTCAGAAGCTTCGAACTATTTTAAATTAGTAACATCAGTAGCATGGAAACGACAAAAGTATTTAGAAAAATGCGAAGAGTTAATCCTGCCGTTATGAAATCTTCATTATATAACATATATAAATAACATATAAATAAATAACATATAAGATATATATAAACATATATAAAAATAACGATAGAAGGAAACAGAAGGATAGCGGAATCTAATTTTGGCACTTCCCACAGAGTTTGATCTTTTTGCAGTTTTTAACTGGACTCTGAGATGAAAAAACCAACGAAGGAAAAAATCTTATACTACTGTATCTCCTGGTAATTTATGCCGTCTTTCAGAAGCAGTTTTTACAGTTTCCAAAAACGAAAAAAAACCGCGTATGCATGCCATAGTGCCTGATTTTATGGAAATCAGCTCATAAAACGGCACCGTCAGGCTCGCGACGTTAAAAC